TGGATTCAATTCATGCAAATACTGAACACTTTCTAAGATCTGACGGAATATTTCGCACGAAATGAAATATTCGCCACAATCCATAGTTTTGCCTAATTGTCGGTCAAATACTTGTCGCTTAAGTTCACAAAAATTTTCAATATTATCCGAATCAAAGTACTCCATCTGAATGTAAAAATATTTGCCTTCATCCCATGAGTTGTAATACTTGACCACATATTTTGATTCAGCCGTTTGTAATGTTTCCACTTCACTTAATAATTTCTCTTTCTCTAAATCTTTTTAATCACAAACATATTTAAAACTAAATATTTTCAATTATTATAAATTTTATACTTACCACTAGAATCAATCTTTTTAACAGCATATATATTATTATCAAGTTTATACTTTGCTTGATACATTATACCAAAGCCACCCCTTCCAATCTCTTTTAACACATCAAATGAGATGTAAAATCTTCGAATTTGAGTTGGCAATGCTGATTTTACATTAAATTGCGAGTTATAAGTGATCTCGTACACCTCAGCGAAGTAATCGTTAAAATCTTCGTATAATGTTTCCTCAATTTTATTATCAACGTATAATTTATAAATTTTATTATTCATTAAAACAGTTATATAATTGAATTCTTTGTCCGAATAATATTGCTGAAACTTTTGACATGGATACTCTATTGATAACTGTTTATGATTTTCATACTCCATACCATTAAACCGAGCGGAAAAATAAATTTCACCCGAATTTGTACGAAAATAACTCTTATCTTTCAACAATGCCATCGATTCTATATTATTGGTTTTTTTATATAATATTTTTGGTTCATGAACATGGTCATTAAGTCGTTCATGGCCATGTCTTAAATGCTCTCTAATATCCCATCTAAACGCCTGGCCCTCGGTATTAACCGCATACGAACAATAATTGTCACAATATATCGATTTTATAGCATGGTCACTTTCGTATTTCAATTTCGTTGACTTTAATATATCATCATGATCCTCTCGATCATAAAATAGTGTATCAAATATATGACGTACCCAGAGGTATACGTGTCCATCAGTGGTGAGCACCAGGCAGTACTCACTCGCGCAACATATTTGTGCGATTGTCATGCCTTTCAAAACAGTTATTTTTTCCGGTGTATGGCTATGACTACCCCAACTGAACACATGGTTGTGGGCAGTCATAGCAAACACAAAGTTTGGGCCATTCGTGAACTGTTTGACCTCTTTCTTACACAAATTATCTATGATTTTCGGAGTAGTGATGTCGTTGGGGACGTCCAACGCGAGCAACCCGTGGGTGTTATCACCGAAACCGTACACTAAGTCATCGGTTGTCACAAACAGTACACTCTTTCCTCTGTTAAACATGTGAAACAATTTCACCGATTGCTTCATAGTTGTGTCGATTTGTGAGAAAATCTCATATTTCTCGACAGCAGAGATAGACATTATGTATGAATTATACAAATATAGTACTTTTCAATCACTGATATAATAATTAACTATAGTTTTAATACTATTCACATAAAATCGTAAGCTTTATAAATACATTTAAAACTTATATTTAAATACTAGTTATAATTTATACAGTTTTGTTTACACCACACCCTTTAAAATAATAGTTGCGTATAAAGTGGCAATGCATGACATACTAATATTATGCATAATACTGTACTGAAGCTATTTGGTATAATATTAATATGGTATAGCTGCTATATTTAGTTAATGTAATGTAAACTGGCTGTAATATATACAATTCATCTCTCTCTCTCTCTCTCTCTCTCTCTCTCTCTCTCTCTCGATAAGAAAATGTATAAAAATTTTGTTTTGTAATATTTAATTAATTTTTATCTATTAAAATTTTTGCATTTTCTTAATAATAATATTATTTATAAATTTATTATACAATCAATTAATCGGATTATTGATAATAAAAATTTGGGACAAATACCTGTATAAAGCAGATTTGTCGATATTTTTAATTTTAGCATTTTGAATAATAATAATATTATATAATAAAAACCATAAAAATGAGATATAAAAAATTATAGAAAATCTTTAGTATTTAAAAATATTTATCATTAGACAAAAAACATTTCTAAATTTGGAGTTAAAAAATTAATGTGATATATTTATACTAATTACCGGAACCTCACCACTACACCCAGGTTGGTCATTAATGACTGATGTACCATGATCACTTGAGATATAATCGCAAATATTATAGAAAATTTTATTCTCATATGATTTAAGCATTTCTTTTATGGAAACAAATTTCGGATTTTTGATAACAATATCCTTATCGACAGCCCATTCGTTACGTTTAGCCAACACTTCACTGCATTCCGGTCTCAACCTCCATTTGGTTGATAAAAGCATAGTGTCCAGGATAGTTTGCAAACTATGTGCTCGCTCAGTTAGCACATCATTCTTAGAATATTCTAATTGTATTTAATTAAAAATATTAGAAATAGATTATAGCTAATAATAATATATCATCTGGGAACCTTTATTTGGGTCGTCATCAGACAAATCAAAGTCAAATAATTCGCAACCATTTTGTCCCAAACTATAGACATCGCATTTGTGTCCATATTTGAGGCCCTGTATGACCTCCGGGGCCGCGTACCTCAAGTGACCCACATCTGATGTATGCTTTTGAGTAGTCCGGTAATGTATGTCTTTGTCGTGAATTGTAGCCAAACCAAAATCGCATAACTTAACAAACCTAACGTTCCTCACATTCTTAGCAATCAATATATTTCCCGGATTAATGTCCCGATGAATAATGTTTTTTGAATGCAAATATTGAACACTCTCTAAGATCTGACGGAATATTTCACACGAAATGAAATACTCGACACAATCCATAGGTTGTCCCAATTTTCTGCGAAATACTTGTGGTTTCACGAGAAGAATATTCTGTAAATTTTGTGAATCAAAGAACTCCATTTGAATGCAAAAATAAACACTATCATCCCATGAGTCGTAATATTGGGCCACATATTCTGATTTTACAACTTCTAAAGTCTTGATCTCAGATAATAATCTTAATTTTCTTTATAACTAAGACATTGAAAAAATAAATATTTATAATATTTAGCTTTATATAAATAAATAGAATATTAAATTTAAAATACAAATACAAATGTATAAATGCATTAATATAACATAATTACTGTACCAATGCAATCAATCTTTTTGATAGCATACACGCCGTTATCTTGATTATTTTGTGCCTTATAAACTCTACCATAGCCACCTCTTCCGATAAATTTAAGCTCGATAAAGTTGTCGGGTATATTATGCTGTGTATTATACGTTATCCCCAGTTGTTGCGCATAAAAATCATTAAAATTATTGTAACCAGTATACGAAAATTCATTATTATATGAAAATAATTCATAGATTTTATCATCACACAAAACGACTATGTAGTCCAATTGGCGGTACGAATTGCATCTCGCAAATTCTTGACAAAGTTTTCCCTCTAATATTTCGGGTCTTATTGTCTTTACATACTTATGATTATTATCGCCGACTTCACCGCAAAAGTACACCTCTCCGGACGTCGTGTGAAAATATGTCACCAATCCTGACGAGTCGATCGTTTGAACGCCGGTTATAGTGTCGATCAATTTAGGGCTCAGTATGTAATCGGGTAAATTACGACCAAGCTGGTGGTAGCTATTTCTACCCCAACCAAACACCAGTCCCTCGTATGTGATGGCAAATGAGACATTATGATGGCAATATATAGATTTTATATTATGAGTACCATTGAACTCCACTTTAATCGGTGTGCATTCGTACTTGGTTATACTGGAACCACCTCCGAGTTGCTTGAAATGATTACTGCCCCACGCGTACACCTCTCCCCCATTGGTTAGGGTCAGGGAGTGCTCACGACCGCAACATATCTGGACTATACTCTTGTCATTCAAGTATGATATTACATCTGGCGGTAACTCCTTAGAAATCGGCTCACGGCCTAACTGTCCCTCACTATTGCGTCCCCAACTGAGCACATGGTTGTCCTCATTGATAGCCAACACAAAGTCCGAGCCATTAATAAACTGTTGTATACTGTGGTGACATATCTCTGGTATGAGTTGCGGTTCAGTGTTGTAATTGTCGTGACCCAATCCGAGACGCCCGTAATAATTGGTACCCAAACTGTACACCGAGTCATCATTTGTCGCAAACAACGCACACTTACCGCCGGAAAACACGTGAAATATATTAACCGTACGTTTGATTGCTGGGTCAATGTTGTCGAAAATGGCATATTTTTTCAAATGGCCTGACATTTTTAACGCAAAATATTATTTAATGAATACAGTAATATTATTTTTTTAATTACACAATACAGAAAATTATTAATAATAATGAAATTTTAGACAAATACGAGACATTTTTGTCGATATATTTAACACAATATTAAGGTTAATAATAATAATAGTTATATAATAATAGGCTATTATTAATAGCCATACAAATGCAATACAAAACCAAATAATTAATGTAATTTAATTTTATCTAATTAAAAATATTTATGATAAGATTAAAACCTTTTAAAATTTTTAAAAATATTTTCATACGATTTAACAAAAAATATTTGTTAATAAAAACTCAGAAATATTGTTTCAATTAGTAACAGAAATCGGATTTTTAATAACCGTGTTCAGAGGCAACTAATTATACTAGACACATTTGTGTATTTAATATTAATATATTGAATAATAATATTACACATAAAAATGTTATACAAAGCAAATAATCATTGAATATATTTAATATTTAAAAATATTTGTTATTAGTTAAAAAACACGTAAAGATTGTAATTGTAAAAATTATGTGAAATATTAGTTATATATAAATATTATAACATACAGTAGTTTTAAAAATGTATAATATTTTTAAAAATAGTCACATTAAGTTGTTTTCATACGTTTTGGTCGTGACCCACCTTCACCACTACACCCAGGTTGGTTAGTTATGACTGATGTACCATGATCACTCGAGATATAATCACAAATATTATAGAAAATTTTATTCTCATGTGATTTAAGCCTATTTTTATGGAAACAAATTCCGGATCTTTAAAAACAATATCCTTATCGATAGACCACTCGTTATATTTAGCCAACACTTCACTGCATTCCGGCCTATCATTCCATACAGGGTTAGACAGCATTGACAACAGGATAACTTGAAATTTATGTACCGGCTCATTTAGGATATCGTTGGTTTCGGAATATTCTTAAAATATTAATATTAAAGTATAATTATTTTTAAAATTTAAAAATATAAACAATATATAATCAATACTTATGTTTGGGTCGTATTTCGAGAAATTAAAGTCAAATAAATCGCAACCAATTCGCCCCAAACTATCGATATCAGATTTGTGACCATATTTATCGCCCTGTATTACCTCTGGCGCCGCGTAACGCAAGTGTCCCACATCTTTGGTATGTTTATGTGTTGTCCGGTAATGAATGTATTTGTCGTGAACTGTAGCGAAACCAAAGTCACATAACTTCACAAATCTGCCGTTCATTATATTTTTGGCGATTAATATATTTCCCGGATTAATGTCCCGATGAATTATGTGTTTTGAATGTAAATACTGAACACTTTCTAAGATCTGACGGAATATTTCACACGAAATATAATACTCGACACAATCCATAGGCTTTCCCGACTGTTGACGAAATACTTGTCGTTTGAGTTTAACAAACTTTTCAATATTTTCCGATTCAATGTACTCCATCTGAATGTAAAAATATTTGCCTTCATCCCATGAGTTGTAATACTTGACCACATATTTTGATTCAGTTGTTTGTAATGTTTCCACTTCTCTTAATAATTTCTTTTTCTCTAAACCTTTTTAATCACAAACATATTTAAAACTAAATACTGTATTTTCAATTATTACAAATATAATACTTACCACTAGAATCTATCTCTTTAACAGCATATACAGTAGTGGACAAGCGAAAGTATAGCTGGTTTTTCTTTGATAATTTCTAAACGGATTATCGTATCTAAGATCTGACTTCAGAATCTTAATCCCAGATAAATGACAGTTCTTTCGGTATATAAGATCAA